ATTTTGCGCCAAATGACGACAACAATTGTGGTAGTCACTTTCTAGCGATTGGGTTAAAACTGCTAGAAATGTGTAGGTTCCACACCCTTCCTGGTCAAAATGCTTAAATTTCTTGTGGTTTGTATTATAACCGCTATAAATGTTTACTTTTGTAGCAGTTTTTTTAACCTCTAGAAGTTAACCGTTGGTAATTTACTTTTTTTTTTGGTAGTGAAAGAGAGAAAGAGAGAGAGAGAGCAAGGAGCAAATTGGCGGTTATTGTGAAGGGATGACAAGCTTTAGCGATAACTTAGGTACATAAAATTACTTCTTTCATCAAAATATTTTCGTAAATATTTTCTATATATTTTCAGCTTTTAATGATATTATTATTATAGTAATTGGAGAAAATTTTGAGACTTAGATATGAGATAAGTATGGAGTTTTGATAATAGATGACCATAGGAATTGAGAGATAAATGAGTAGTTAATTCCTATTAGTTTAGATTTGTCTATTTATTGGTTTTAGTGTTTAAAAAATTAATTTTTAGTTGAGAAATCTGTTATTTATGAGATGTATCATATTTATATTGATCAAAATTAAGTCAAATAATTTATTTGGATTGTTTGATAGATTATTAAGATTTTAATCAGTTTAGTTTTATTTATTGGGTGATTGGAAGTTTTAAAATAATTATTTTAGCTAAAAAGTTCATTATTTGTGGAAAAAAAATCTAATAGTTATACCATTAAAATTTTGATTAAATTATTTATTTATAAATATTTGAGGTACTATTGAATTTTTTATGGTTGGTTTTGAGGTTTAAACTTCAAATAGGATTTTTAGAATTTAAAATATAATAATTTCATATTTAGAAATTTTGAAAAATTATTTTTATTAAAGTACATAATTTAGAGGATGTAAGTGAATAATTTGGCTTGTTAGAAAAATATAAATTAGTTCTAAAATACTTAATTTTGGGTTATGAGAGTTCCAAAAATTTAGAATAAAAATTAAATTAGAAATTTAATGAATATATGTAAGCTTAATTAATTAATTAATTATCTTATATTAATATGTGGTTATATTAATTATGTAGATTAATTATTGGTTGAGCAAGGGATTAACCTTATGGTAATCCTTTTGATTGCTTTGATGAGACGTACTACAAAAAAATAGGGTATTAGTGACGGAATTTAAATTTCATCGCTAATCCATCAGAAATCTCTCACAAATTCCGTCCTTAAAATTAGCGAAGGAAAATTTTTGTTGCTAAATTAGTGAAGGATTAGTGACAAAATTTTTGTTTTGAATGATTAGTAACAAAAATTAGTGACCGAAAAATTCCATCATTATTTTCCATCACCAGTCCATCACTAACTCTCATTTTGTGACAGAAATTAGTGACAGAATTTTTCTGTCACTAATTTCCATCGCAATTTCATCACTAATCCGTCACAAAAAAATAATATAAATATATAATAATTATTTTGTAAACTTATTATTAAAATAAAAATATAATATATCATAATTTTTAAATATATATTATATAAAAATTAAAAAATACAAATATTATAAAAGAAAATAAAAATAAAAAATATAATATACTTATTATTTTGATAAATATTTGAATAAAAATATAAATTATTAGAAATTTTTTACTAAAATATAAAAATTAAATTCAAATAAATAATAATATATTAAATTATGTATATAATATTTATTTTATATATTTGTATTTGTTATTAGAAATATTATATATATTTATTTTTGTAAAATAATTTCATAGGTACTTCTCAGCTCAACAAGCAAAGGCTTCAGCACGAGCGTAGGAAGTTGCAGGTTTAAACCAACACTTCTTCACAAATTGGCTCAATTTGTAACATGGCAATGACATGGACAAGGCGATGACGTGGCAATTCATAATGATGGACACATGGTGATGACATAGATGCTATGATGACGTGGCTGTATGGGAGAGAGGAGGAGTTGAGGTGGCATCCACTGATAGACACATGGCAATGACGTGGATGAAGGGACGACGGGGCAACATAGGGGAGAGAGAGGAGTTGCTGAGGTAGCATTCATTGATGACATGGCGGCTCATAGTGATGGACATATGGCAATGATGTGGTATTTTAAATTTACAAAATAAAACAATTTAGAGACGGATTAGTGACGAAAATTTCTATCACCAATTTCTGACAAAATTTTCTGTCACAAATCCATCATTATTTTGTGACAGAATTTTTGTGGGATATCCGTCACTAATTAGCGGCGGATTAGTGACGAAAAATTTCTGTCACTAATTTCCGTCACTAATCCATCAGTAATCCATCCCTAATTATTGACAGAATTTTGAATTCCGTTACTAATTATTTAGTGACGGTGGAATTAGTGACGGAAAAAATTCCATTGCTAATTCTGTCACTAACTAAATTCCGTTACTAATCCATCGCTAATTTTGATTGGTGACGGAAATTCCATCACTAAATTCCATCGCTAGTTTGATGTTTTTTTGTAGTGAGGTAATTACTTTCCACTTGTTATATGTGCTAATATGTTGTTTGTGAGTATTTTGCTATTTTGGAATAATGATGTGCTATTTGGAACCCGAGTAGATATGTTATACCTCATGAGCTATGAAAATTGTCTTGTGGGACTTTTGGAATTGTGACTGAGATGTTTGGAAAAATATATAATTTATATCTTATGGATTATATTGAGAAAAGATTGAGATATTTCTCATTATATTGTGTGAATAATTGGTTGTTTTTTGGATTTTAAGTTGATTTCTATTTTGTCATGTGGTAAGGTTGCCATTGGTGCATATTAGTTGATGGCTTCATTCATCCCCCAGAGTGAGGGATATTCTCTTGTGGCTTTTATTCGTCCCCCAAAGTGAGGGATAAGCCTATATGTCTGATTAATCTCTCATAGTGAGAGATAAATTTATATGGCTTGTGTTTTAGCTCCCATAGTTAGGGTTTGGATGATTGAGATTATTTTAGTATATGTGTTTTATATTTTTATTGATATATCTATATTTCTTGAGAATTAATAACTGTCCCACTTGACATCCTATGAGCATATGTTAGTATATATAATGAGTTGGAAAGCTAGTTACTAAGGCTTTTGTCTCACCTCATGGTCTCTGCTATGTTCAGGTAGTGGTCTATCAGGGAAGGCCCCGAAGGCTTAGTGTGCTGTTATCGTTTGTATAGCCTCCTTTTTTTTCTTGTTTTATGTGCTGATTTATTATATATTGCCATATAGGGCTCATCTATTTTGATGTGTAAACTAAAACTTTTGATTGCTGCTATTTGATGGGAGGACTGTTAGAAGGCTAGAAGCCTCTAAGACTTTGCATGTGACACTCTTTTGAAAGTGTTGACTTTTGATTAATAAACTCCATAGCTTATTTTAAAATGATTTATCAGCTCATATGGTTGAAAGTATGAGTTTTGTTTGGGCTAATAGTTAAATGGTATTTCTGGATTTTGGAAGTCCAAGGCCTAGGTTAATGATTGATATTACTCATGACATAAATTTATTCCTTTTAACTATGATAGTAATTTTATAATTTTAAGGTTTATTCTTTTCTATCATAGGTAATCTTTTGAATAAATTATTTGATTTAATTTAAATATGTTTTTGGAATAACCAATGAAAAAAAACCGGACCAGACCGGCCGGTTTGACCGGAAAATCGGTGAACCGATCTGGTTCACTAGCTGAACCGGGGGAGAACCGAACCGGTAAAAAACCGGTTGAACCGGTCATAACCGATACAGAACCGGGTAAACCCGGTTTGGCGGGTTACCCGGTTCCCTTTTTTTTTTTGCCTGATATAACCTAAACGACGTCGTTTTTATTTTAAAAAAAACATTCCTTCCTTCCTTTCTCGGTTTCTCCTCTGCCGCCGAGTTCCCATTATTTGATTTCCCCTGAATCTACACTCGTTTCTTCGGTTCCTCCAGCTCCCCGACTATCGCACCGCAGCAGCTCGCCTCCGGCCTCCCTCCTTGAAACCAAATCGCCTCCTCCAAAATCCCTGCTCGCTAGAGTCACTGACGGCACGACGGTCTCCGAGACTCCGACACACCTCCTTGTTCGGCAGAGCTCCAAAATCCCAGAGTCATCGCAAGTCTGATCTCCGGTCTCCCTCAACCATCTGAGCTCGCAACTCGCAAGTCTCCTAAACTTGAAACGGTTAGAATGAGTTCCAAATTTCCAATACTGCCTCCCCCGTTCCTCTTTATGCTCTGAACCCCTAAACCCCTGAATTTCTGATCCTATTTCCTAATTCGTCTGTCTCTCACTCTCTCCAAGCTTTTTGGCATACGCATCGAACTTTGTTGCTGCTCGTGAGTATTGACCTCGTCTCCTTGCCGCCGCTGTCATTCCCAGTTCCTCAAGGCTAATATTTTCCGGTTCCTCATTCCCGCCGCTGTCATTTTGGTTTGTAATTTATTATCGAATGAATTTTGCTGTTTTACTGAGATTACTGATTATAGACTATATATAAATGAGATCCTGAATGAGTCTTGCTGTGATTATATCGTGAATTCGTGATAATGATGTTATTTATGGGTTTGCCGCCGCTGTCATTCCCGGTTCCTCAAGGCTAATATATGTTCTTTATATGGGTTTGCAATGTTGATGTTTATTGAATTATTCAGGCATGTGATGCTTACTAGCTTTAAATGTCATAGGGTCTCCAGGCAGCAGCTTCGTTGTTTTACTAGTTTTGTTATGAATTAGATTTTTATTCAGGCCTGTGATGCTTACTAGCTGTATGCCTGTATCAAATATAACATTTTTGAGTTGATTTGGTTTGATTTTTATTCAGCCTTATAAGAGTGAAAGATTTTGCAAAAGTGTCAAAAACTAATCACTAATAAGCTGAATTATGTTTTCCTGAATGTCAATGTCATTGCATATATGCCATCTTAGTGCATCTGTTTCTGGATTAAATTGATTTTATATGGATTTTGTTTTCTTTTCAAGAGGTAGCAGTGATGGATATTTCAAACAATCAAAGTTCTGGAAATGATAATGTCGCTCCTAATACTCAATCTTCCACTCCCAACACTGAAACTTCCAATCCTCCTACACCAATTTCTTCATTGCGTGCAAAAACTGATCCTGCATGGGCACATGTTGCTTATAAGAAAGAAGGGACACAAAATGTATACACCTGCCTTTTTTGTGGTAATAGTTATAGAGGTGGTGGAATAAATAGGATGAAGCAACACCTTGCTGGTATCATTGGTCAAATATCTTCTTGTAAAAAAGTTTCGCATGATGTACGTCATAGAATGACAGAATCTTTGAAAGAGTGTTCAAAGAAAAAAGCCATTGAAAATATAGAAGAGGAAATTGAAGATACTCATGTTGATTCACCAATTATCATGAGTAGTGCAAAAAAGAGAAAATCTATAGGGAGTATGGATAATTATTTTGCTCCTCGCACAACCCCTGATTCTCAACCGGGTATTAAAAGTGCATTAGCAACCAAAGAAGCGAAACACAATGTAAAAATGTTGATTGCTGAGTGGGCCATTGTGAATTGCATTCCATTTAAAGCATTTGATTGCCCGTTATTTCAAAAAGCTGTAGATGGTATTGCTTCAATTGGGCCTGGGTTTAAAGCCCCTAGTGCTTATGATTTCAAAACCAATTTGCTGAGTGATTGGAGAAAAGAATGTCAGCTACTAATTGATAGCCATCGAGCTAAATGGAAAAACAATGGCTGCACACTCATGGCTGATGGATGGACCGATGTGAGGCAACGTACTTTGATAAATTTCTTAGTGTATTCTACACACGGAATGGTGTTTGTGAAGTCTGTTGATGCTTCAGATTTAGTCAAAGATGCCAAAACTCTATTTACTCTATTCTGTGAAGTCATTGAGTGGATTGGTTTTAGGAATATTGTCCATGTAGTAACTGACAATGCAGCTAACTATGTAGCATGTGGCAGGTTGATTAAAGAAAAGTATAAAAATATTTATTAGTCACCTTGTGCTGCTCATTGTCTGAATCTTATATTAAAAGACTTTTCCAGCATGCCAAATGTGTCAGACCTCGCATCAAAGGCATCCAAGGTAACTATCTTTGCATATAATCATATGGTTTTCTTATCATGGTTGAGGAGGAGACCGAGTTGGAAAGAAATAGTGCGTCCTGGTGCCACAAGATTTGCTACGACATTTATTACATTGCACAGCATATATATGCATAAAAATGACTTGCAGGCTCTGGTTGTTGATAAGCATTTTGTGGACCATAGATTATCAAAGACTGAGGCAGGGAAAAATTTTAGTGCAATCATTTTAGATAACCGGTTTTGGAATGACTGTTATCAAGTTGTGAAGATTGTATCTCCTCTCATCAAATTATTGAGAATTGTGGACTCAGATGAGAAGCCTTCATTGCCTTACGTTTATGAGGGGATGAGAAGGGCAAAAATAGCAATTAAGGAGATGTTTAAGAAGAACAAGGAATTGTATAAGCCTTACACAAGAATCATTCAAACTCGATGGGATAGACATCTGAAGACCAATCTTCATGCGGCGTCGTATTTGTTGAATCCTGCAATTACATGTGGTCCAGATTGTCCTAGCAAGTCAAAGTTAATGATGGCTTTGATTGATGTGGTTGAGTCTTACTCAGATGAAGATATTGATGGCTTCCTAGTGATGAAACAAGCGACTACTTATCACGAAGGCAAGGAATCTTTTAGCAGGCCTTCATGTCAAAAAGCTGCTCAAAAACTAGACCCCTGTAAGTATTATTATTATTTATTGTATTCATGATTATTCACTAATTCTATATAGTATTGGATACTAAATATATTTTATTATGTAGATGAATGGTGGACATATTATGGTTGTTCAGTTCCAGAATTGCAGCGTGTTGCAATGCGCATTCTTAGTCAAACTTCTGCTTCTTTTGGTTGTGAGAGGAATTGGAGCTTATTTGAAAGAATTCATACGAAAAGAAGAAACAGATTGGGACATAAAAGACTGAATGATTTGGTTTTCACCAATTATAATTTGCGATTGAAGCATAGGTAATCTTGGAAACAGTGAATAAATTTAGTTTTTTTTAATTGATTTATATTTATCTAATATTTTGTTTGTCATTAAAGGAGTACATTGAAGAAGAGCAAAAGTTATGATCCAATTGACTATGAAAACATTGATATGGTGGATTTTTGGGTGGCTGAAGAAGATCCCACTCCGGAGTTTGATGATAGAGATGTGGATATATTGGAAAGCGTCCTTAACAATGACGGCACTGCTGATTCAACAACTCTTGAGAGTGCTAATGAAGGTTTATATATTTAATTAAGACTCTATTCTTATACCAATATATAGTTATTTGTATAATCTTCAATGTTGGTCACTGTCTTATATAGGTGATGAAGATATGAACATTGCTGACCCTCCACCTTTACAAGATGATGTTGTTGCTCCTGCTTTTCCTTGTCCAGCTGTTGACATCTCAGCCCATGCAAATGATCTTAGTGATGATTTTGATTTTCCCTAGTTAAGATATACATTTCATTAATGTTTGCTTGGTACTATTAAATATTTAAACTACTACTTTTGTAGCTTCTCATCTTTTTTTAGTGATTATTATTTATGAATTTTGTTTTATTTTAATATTATGAATTAATTATATTATTTTAATATGACCGGTCCGACCCCAGTTCAACCTCGGTTCGACCAGTAACCCTTGACCCACTATCTCGACCGGTTTGATGCCCGGTCCGGTTTTTTGTTCCTTGGGAATAACAGTCGTCACATCTTCCACTTATCGCTATTAGGCTAGAAGAGGTTATTCAAATTGTGATGTTATCTTTATAATCAAAACAAAGTGTTTAACAGTTTGAGGTTATAATCAAGATTAAACTAGTAAACTTCAACTTATTGAAGAGCTTTTATACCACTAAGTTAGCTAGAAGGCTAGCTATTGACAAAATCAATTATAATCTTATACTTAAAATATTTCAAAATAGGTTTCTTTTTTCCTTTTTTTTTCCCAACAAAAATGATGAAATTCCGTATAGTTATTGTAAGTATCTTCGTGCCAAACATTGACTGCTCTTGTATATATAACTTCGAGGAAGGCAGGCTTTTGCTAATTATACCTCGTTACATGCAGAAGACAGCCATTTTTGGGGTCACATGTGCATGTTTAATGTTGGAACAGAAGCTGGTTAAAAAAAAAAAACAAATGGAACAGAAAATGGGATGACATAGGTTGTGGGAAAACCATAGAGCTTGTCTTTTTATTTTTATTATATGACGTACTTTGTTTTCGTACGAAATCGTTCTCATTCTTAGCCAATAAGTACGCTTTTCATTTTTTATTTTAAAATAGAAAAAAGTATTATTATTATTTTTTAACTTCACCATCTTACCAAATTGCACATTGACTAAGAATTAAGAAAAGAAAGCACAACAAGAATTCACATGCATGGCCTGCTATTTTGTTAATATGAAATACCGCCGTACTGATTCATCGAGGCTGTTTGTGTGTGTGTCTATATATATGTATATATATATAAATGAAATATTAAAAATTTTCCAGAAGAGTTGACAATATTTAATGAATATTAATTTCTTCTGAATGCCGTTTCTTTCATCACTTATCACTGATATCAATCAGGAATGACCTGTGTGTTTTGATCGGAGCTCAAGAAACTTGTCATATATGCAACTTCAGAATAAACAAATTGTAAAAAAGAGCCGTAGTACTCAACTTCCTAAGCACTTTAATTAATAATTCTATAGTCGATTTAGGTTTTAAATTTTTATAACTTGATAATGAACTTTTCTAAGCTTTTAAATTTGTGCGGATAGCCCTAATTATTAATTATATACTCCTTAACTTTTTTGCGTGTGCATATAGTCCTTAAAACTTTGAGTTATATGCAGATAATCCTCTTAAATTTGAAGTTATGTGCGGATAAACAATCAACAAAACTAATCGCAGGGAAGTTATCTGTATAAATATAAGAGTTTATATAGGGGAGTTTGTTGTAAAGTTTCATCAAATATTAAGGCGGTTATTTGTATATGGCATAAAGCTCATGAGAGGTATATAATTTAGCTTCAACTAAATTAAAAGTTGAGAGCAAAAAAAGAAAGCACCTGAAGGCATCCAAAAATATAGTAGATTTCTTTGTCAGTTTTTATGCCTCCTCACTTCATTTTTGAACATTTTGGAGTTCATGTTAGTTTAGTGTATTTGCCATTTCTTCTCCATTTGCATTTTTTGAACCCTTGTTTTCGTATTATTGTAGTTTTATTCACATATTTGTGTTTGTTTTCTTCCATGTAATAATTATAGCCCTTTAAATATGCATTGTACACCGATGTTTTTATTTCCTTGTGAGTCCTAATGATTTCTATTTAGTGGCCATTAATTTGGGCCGAATTAATTAACAGTGAAGCAAGGATAGACTTTCAAAAAATTCGTGTATATATGTGATTTTTTTTTTGTGGCATGCAAAGTCTTGCATGTACTTAAAAGTTGAAACCAGTCACGTTAGATAATTAAATAATCTTCACTACTATAAATTTGTTAATATTTGACATTTGATACTTGACAATTATAAAAAAAACCACCATCAAATATGATTAGAGAGAGATATGATTAAAGACGATAGTTTAAAAAAGTCCACACATTTAATGTCTAATAGTGCCTTGAATAGGACTTTCTCAATAGAAAGGTACATATGGATAGAAAAAAAGAAGTCAACATACTTTTAGTATAAATGACCAACTCAACTAATTTTTTTTTAATATTTTTAAATTAATTATGTAGTTTTTATAGAAAGGAGGTAGTATATTATAAATTTGGAAAATTCTTTTAGGTTGGAGAAAATTCTATGAAAGAGTGGTGGGTAATAACTTGTATGCTAAACGTGAGGGCCATTACTTATTCTTGGAAGTAAAACTTCAATTTTTCAAAAATAATTAGTTCAATCGCGGAAGGACCCAAAAACACTAGGGTTGACCCAAATGGCACAAAATAGTACTCTTGCAATTTGATAATTTTTTGTTTGGTTAAATTATATTGTCTCCAGGTGTTACTATAAGAGCTAGTTGAGAGATTAAATTTGGTATTAAATATAATACCTCAATCAACTTTGTCTTCAAATCTATAATGTTTTATCTAAAATACTCCTATTAATTGTAAATTGTTCTAACTAAGAAATAGTTTCAATATACTACCTCTGGTCCTAAATATAAGAGCTAGTTGATTAATTAGAGGAGATTAAGAAAATAAGTTAAGTTAGTTATTTGTAATAAATAGATATTGTTGTTCCTAAAATATCCTTGTTAATAAAGTTTATTGGCTAGAACTATCATTATTAGAAGGACTATCTTCAAAAAAATGAATAAATATGAGAGACAAAGTAGATAGGAGTTTTATATTTAGAACCAAAATAAAAGTAAAATGAAATCTTATATTAAGGACCGGAGGTAGTATATGATTAAAAAAGGTAGTTTAGAAAAGTCAAAATATATTTGTTATAATTAATTAATTTAACTCATTTCTTTTACCAATTCAAATTAGTTTTCTAGCTCTTAGTACCAGTAAGATTTCTCAAAATGTTTAATTTATGTAATGCTAAGCTATCATATATTTCTTTATATTTTAATTAAAAATGGAAAACATTAAAATTATATCAAAGTAAATGTTACATCTTTTCAGGCGAATTTGTCAAATGCAACTTGCCTATGTTATGCTACATTGACGTTTGATATAGTTTTTATGTTTTCAGCTTCGAGTGAAAATAATGCATTTAAGAAATAATAACTTTTATAAATTTACATAATTGAGATTTCAGAATTTAAGCTTTTGAAACTTGTGATCCTGTCTGATATGAAGTATTAAGAATGAAAGACAAGAATGGAATTGGAATTGAAAAAGGTCAATTGTACGTGAGATTGCTTGTTACTTAGGATTGGTCAACCTAATCCCACCTACATGGCTTAGTCCAATTTTAAATAATAAGCAATTCTTCATATTAAATACTTTTTTAATAGATTTTGTCAATCTTATTCTTAATACTTCATACCAAATGGGAATAGGAATATGCTCATGGAAGAACCATGCTTTCAGTTTTTAGATGTTAGAATAAATGTTAATTTGGCCCTTTAAATTTATAAAGTTATTTTTATTTTCTTAACATTGGAAGTATATTAAGTTTCTTTGGCCAAAATATATTAAGTTACACAATGAAAATTTCTTAAGTTTCTTTGGCCAAAATATATTAAGTTAGTCAATGAAAATTTCTTACATGAAATTAAAATAATTTACCTATAATAATTTCTTGACAACCTTCCATGACAACAAAAATGAATGAAAAAAAATGTTTCTTCTAACTCTCCTATGAAGTTTAGAAAATGACTTACTATATGTTTTTTATATATGTTTCAATCAATATTGATATTTATATTTATGATTTTATCCACAAGATGTGACTGGATGCACGTGGGCACAGTTGAAGAAAATCACCAAACAGAGAAATTTCTATATGATATGATATGTTTTAATTTTTTAATTCTTTCTCTAATTTTATACACACTATTAATTATCACGATCTTATTTTTACTACTACTACTATTATTATTTTTGAGTTTTATTTTATCTGTGATTTTGGGACATTATTCTGATTCATTTGAGGGTGGTTGTAGTTTGGTTGATCTGGAAGGTGAAGGTGTGAAGAAGCCCTAGAAGAATGGGGAGAGGGAAGATTGCGATTAAGAGGATTGACAATTCAACAAACAGGCAAGTCACTTTCTCGAAGAGAAGAAGTGGTTTGCTCAAGAAAGCCAAGGAGCTTGCCATCCTCTGTGACGCTCAAGTTGGGGTCACTGTCTTCTCTAGCACCGGCAAGCTAATATGGAAGCTCCAGGTTCCTCTTCTTCCCACCTTCATTATTTATTTATTTATTATTATTGTTGCTGTTGTTTCTTTCTTTCTTTCTTTTTTTCAAAAGCTACCACCGCATTTTTCTGGGTGCTCCTCTCTTTTGATCCAGATAATATGCCTCTAGTCTAGACTCATTTCTTCCCCCCGCCCCCCAGAAAAAGGCAAAAAAAAAAAAAAAGATGAAAAAACCATCTTGGATATGATGATATTCTGTCAGATTGATCTGAATGGTAGCAGAAAATTAACAGTTTTTTTTTTTGGAAATATAATCCCACTTGCATATATTGGAGAGCATCTGCGAGCTTGACATTGATGCATTAAAGATTGCTGTATATCATCATCTCTGTTTTTTTCTTTCTCTTGTGGTTTTGTATTAATCACTTTCCATTAACATATGTTTTTTGATGCCTTAATTAGCTTTGGATGTTGAGCCTTTTTTTTTTTCCTTTTCGCCTCTTACATGCTTGCTTAGGTGAACAATTAACATGTGTTAGAATTTTGGGTTGAATCATTCATTAAAAAGTACGGCACGCTTGCTGCATAAGAAAGTTTTACTGCGAGATTAGAGTCATATTTGGACACCCAACAAAGTCTTAGGTCTAAAGCTACAAAAATGACCCGAATTATTACGAGGTATTCAATCCAAAAAAGATGAAACCAAAAAAAAAAGAAAAGAAAAGCAATGCTCGTCATAAAAGAAACTGGATAGCAATCTTTATTCAACTTCTTCTTGATACTTCATGGAACTTGATGCTTTGCTTTGTACTCAAATGATCTTTCCAGCCTCTTGATACTTTTACTCTTTACCGGACTTCTAGTGGTTGGGCTTTCAATGCCATGTAGAAGATCTTGGGATTGAACCAACCGCTTTTGGATGACATGGACACCACTCTGATGACTGTGAATGCCACATATAGCATGGCTGCCATGTAGGACTTGGCTACCAACTTGAATATCATTATTGGATGCCACACAGGTCACCATCTATGCTTATGTTAAATGCTATTGTTTCCTAGTAGTCTTCTTGTTCTGTTCAATGCAATATAAATTTGCTACTAGGTTAGCTTAAGAAACCAAAAGAAATGACACAGAAAAAAATATGAAAAGAGGATGTGTGTGTGTGTGTGTGTGTGTGTTTGGAATATTATCCACATGCATGCGTAAGTGTGGGAATCGTAATGTTATCAGTATATAGCAAGGCTAGATAGAATATCAGAAAATCCTCCCTCTTTATAATATATATATATATATATATATTCTTATTAGTAAGACCTATCCTGTAAAGTGTACACTACCACATACCTAGCCAGACTGGCAAACTCATTTACAATTGCTCTTTCTAAAGTTCAAAGATATATAGGAGACGTTAAGCATTGGCAGTAACATCTTCTGAGAAGGAATCTGAAAAGTTGAAGTTGCTGCGTAAACAAATGTCATTGTATCTAGAGAGCATCAGTGACCGTATAACCAAATAGCATGAATACTCTTCTGTAAGTAAGAGGATCGTAAGTTTATGTTTGACTGTGATTCAAAAAATAAAGAAAAAGGAATTTAGTAGGGTGTTTATAAATAGAAATGGAGTAGGCTTGAAATTTGCCCTTTATCTATCTGTCTATAGTTTTCCCCCTGTCATTTTTATTTTCTCTATTCTCTCATGGTAATATGTAATTAGAAGATTATAGATACCCTTTCCCCATATAAACTCAAAAAGCTGTGCATGCACATATTGTAGCACATTCCGTGCTCTTTTTTCTTTTTCTTTTTTGAGAACGGAATGCTCAAGTTGATTTGGATAACTTAGGTTAATTTTAAACGATCCAGATTCAATTTAATTTCTTTTCGAGTTTTATATTTTTTAAAAATAAAGATAACTTTATAATAAATAATATTTTTTTAAAAAATAAATCTATTATTAAAAAACTGTAGATTACAAATTTTAAATCTAAATCATTCATATCATATTTTGTAATGAAATCTAAACCATCCCTGAACTGCATATTACATTAGGCACAATTTTTTTTTTTTAAATGATGATTTACTTAGTGGAATATGTACTTGAACATGGACTTTTCTTTTTGTTTTTTTTATTCATCTAATAATGATTGATATAGTCTTAAAGACAAAATGCTGGGAGATCTTTTTTTCCAAAACCATATCTATTTAATTCTAATATCTTTTTTTTTTTTAGAGGGAAAAACAATTTCCCAAAGACGGGTGTTTATGGGGCCAATAAAAGTAATGATCTAGACATTTTGCAATGTGACTTATATTGGAAAGGAAACCTCCCTACTCTCTTATTTTCCACTCGTTTTTTTTTCCCCATTCTCATTATTAGATCAACTCTGGACGGTTGATATTTAATAATATATAAAACTATTACTTTGATATCAAATAACCAAAAATTATATAAATAATTTTAAATTATTAAATTTTGAGCTAAATAGTTCACATCTTTATAATTTTATTAAAACATCTTATATATATTTTTTATTTTTTATAAGACATTAAATATCAACATTGTTTTTTTAACTGAAATTAAATATCGACAGTTAGTATTTTATATTGTAAAAGCGTAAGCCATATTGATACTACCTCCTATCCTTGATATAAGAGTTAAATAACTAATTTGTGGATATTAAAAAAAATTAATTGCATTAGCTATTTGTAATAAATGGATGTTGCCTTCTTTAAAATGTCCTTATTATTTATGTGTATTAGAACTATTTATTGGTGGAAACTCCTTAACATATATAATTACTATATTTATTGGTGGTAAAATAGATAAACATTAAAGACAAAGTAGATTGGAATCTTGGCATTTTATATTACGGAACATATATAAAATCTCCACCTAGCTCCTTTTTTTTTTTGGCCCGCAGTATTATGTACATGAATAGTTAAAAATATGATACATATTACGCATATATATATATGTTTATTTATATATCTAACTAGCTAGATCCTAGTCAACTATAGATCGTATTAGTGCATCAAAGAACATATCATGTGGATGTATGGGCACAATTATAGTTGTCCCAGTAAGGGCCTATTTGTTTTAGATTATTTACTAAAAAAATCGCTACTTTTGAGAAATTTTAGGATGCTTGTTTAATGTTTAAACAATTTAAAAGAAAACATTTTTGTATTATTTTTAAATGCTATTTTAAATAGCTTCTAATTATATTTTGAGAAGCCACTTTCAAGTAAAAATTGTTCTTTTATATTCGTAACAAACATAAATAACTTTCAATATTCAAAAAATATCAAAATAATATATCACTTTTTAATTGGAAAATTTGAAAATCACTTATTTTTTAAAACTCAAACAAACAGTCCATACGTTTTTTTTTTTTGGGAGAAACTCTTGTACGGGAATCATTTCTATTTCACACAATTTGTCATTTATACCCTCACTAATAAACTCATTCAACTCTCCATAATTTTTCAGATCAATCTGAAGCTGGCTAGAGTGCATGTGGCTACTGGCTAGCCGACCTTCCCATGTATATTAAGTAGGCTGTTATTTGGTGATTGGTGATTTAGGATCCTCTCACATCATGACTATGAAGTGAAGTTGAAATACTCTCTGATTCTTATTATACGCATTAGATAACTACTTTGTGGATGATTAACAATCAGTTAAGATTAGTTAAAAGCAATAAATAAGTAAGAAATATACATTTATTTTCAAATATACCTTCATAATAAATGAGAAAAAAAAAAGTTGAAAGAGAATGTATAGGGAAATGTGATGAGAAAGAGTCTGATAAATAAGAAGGAATAAATAATTGAAAATATAAATTAAATGTTAAGACAAACTTTAATTGAAACTTATAAAATGGATCACACTCTTCTCAAAATTTGCAACTTATAAATAGGAACGGAGGGAGTTGCGTCCACTATAAAGTGGTTATGGTTGTTATGCAATATGCTTGCTTCTTTAATTTGTTAGTTTGATTTTGCATCATATTCCAATTATTGAGTGAAGTATGATTTGCGCATATTCATGTTCTCATACCTTAAATCAAAGAGCTGGTTAGGTTTTTTTTTTTTTTGCTCTTAAATATAATTAAGACCTCAGTCCATTTTGTTTCAAAATTTATAACTTTTTTCAGACTAACTATATTAATTGTACATGTTAGGGTGATTTTCATTAAAAGGTAGTTCCAATACCAATAATTAAAGGGGATATTTTAGGAAAAAAAATACTTATATCATATTTCTTATATCCATTATTTGAAGTTCTCCAATCATGCAAGGTCATGTGTTCTCTTTTTTTATGCAGGTTTATAGTTTAATTAATGATAATACTTTAAAAACATGACACATGACCATGTGTGATTAAAGAATTGGAGGTCATACCAACAAAGCCCGGCACAGTTGGTAGATAGCTGGGTCCCTTAAACATGATGTCCTGGGTTCGAACTAGGCCGTGTGCATGGAACAGGCTTTGTTGGGAGAGGCAAAACCCACTTTGGTGATCTCTAAGCCTCGGGAGGATTAGTCTCTGGCTATCGGCTAGGGGATACCACCTGGTTTCTACCAAAAAAAAAGAATTGGAGGTCATATGTGAATGAATAATTCATGTTGTCGTTAGTTATTTTGGGCCAGGAAGTACGTTATAGGCTTATTAGGCTAGGTGTAATTATATTGGCTTAGTTTAAGCATTAATCATAGATCATGCATTGCCAAGTGTGATCTCCCTTTGCTTTCCTTTTCCCTTTTATTAAAGCAAGGGCATAGATATGAAGCGTTGCAATAAAATCATATTCCCTTCCATTATTTGATAAAGCTTTTACCCCCATAATGTGCTTAGGGAGCTAAATGTGTACGAAGAAAAAATGATAACCACTCTGAAAAATCAATCATTCGCACCAAAAAAGTATTAATACTATAACATGATCCATTATATAATTAAATTGCATTATATAGATTTACATAAACTTAATTTTCATCTTATTAATTGAATTCTCTGCTTAAGTATGACAGCATGAAGTCAATTATTGACCGCTACAATAAACAAAAAGATCAGGAACACCATCTGCTTATGAATCCAGCTTCAGGAGCTAAGGTACTATGATATTTTTAAGGTTTCTTCATAAAAGTCATGTCTTTTCTTTAAGTCATGTCAAGTATTTGCAATTGTCAGTGTGCTTTATATTTAACTCCAAGCAACTAGATAAAATGGAAACATCAGTTCTAATAATAGAGAAAAACATATAAGACTTAGAAATTATTGGTGAAGCAAAAAGCAAATACATTATCTAAGTAAGACCTAATTAGAGAGTTGATGTTAGTCATACATGTAAGATCTACTTTATATATTTATCAATTTTTCTTTCAAGTTAACCCTATTGATATTTTCTAAAAAAAATCCAGTATGAAAGGTAGGGAGAGTACTAGGATGATGTTTACAGAATTTAGAAAAAATAGATTATATTAACTAATCTAAATAACATCTTTAATCTACTCAAATTAGCTAATTAGGTGTTACATTAAGGATTAGAGGAGTACTATAGAAACTGAAGTGGCACAAATTAAAGAGAAACAGAGATCAAGGAAAGATGGGAGAAGAGATGAAGAACACACACAACAACTAATTTAACCAACATAACTATCAGTGCTCTCTGAAAGAGAAAAAGGACCCCAAGTGATACGCAACTTGTCACACCTCTCTTTATAACCTATTACACGTCAATTGGAACCAATATAAGTTGTTTCGTAACATGTCCAGGCAAAAACATTTAAAATTCAGGATTTTACTGTTCATCATGTTTGTACACCTTTCATTTGAAAATAGGCCAACTTTGAAAATTCATAACTAATTCTAAAAAAATCAAAACGATGTGATTCTAATTTTCACGTGAAGCTTGCTAAGAGTTCTATGGGGAAAAATACTCACTAGGTCCAGTTCCACCCAGAATAATTTCAGAAAATTCGTCAAAGTACACTGATCATTTGGTAAATTTTCAAATTTGCAGTATTTTTGCCCAACTTTGGAAGGGCATAACTCTTAGCACAAAACTCTAATTTTAGTGGTTTACAACTTGTTTTAAAGATAAAAATGAGATCTATAAGCCTGTAAAATTTCACGTTCAAATTCCAACAATTGCTTATTATTTCATGTGCCACAAGTTTGGCCTCTTTTAGGGAGATTCTATCCTCTAATGCTACTTTCTTTAATTTATCTCCCATTTTTCTTTTTCCTACACTCTTTTGACATTATACCATTCAATATTCCAACATTTAGACATGTCATATAAACATAATTTACATCACATATCATTCATAATCCATTACATTCTCAACATAAAGTTCATTAATACATTACACAACATAACATAATAGCATCAATTCCATAATTGCGTCTCTATCCCAAAATCATTTCCTTGCCCTTGTCATCGGATGAATCATTTCCTATTTGAGACATAATTTAACATAGGAGGAATGAGATTTTCATGAAATCTCAGTAGCATTTGAATTACACTTATCATGCAAATCAAGCAGGTTATCATGTGACATGTTATGATACCTCAAGGCATAATCAACCCAATAAAATCATGCTTAATGCCATGCTAAAAGAGAAACATCAACACTTCCACAATAACATAACCCAATGCATTTGGCCAAAGCATAAACCAATGTTATTCACCCAATCCATGCCACAACACAAGTTCCTCTATCCAAGCAAACAACAAATCACATTAAACGTAACAAGCAAGATTAACAATCAAATTATAATTCAACGCTACCTTTTTAACACTTGTCCACTAGGTTACTTCAGGGGACAAAGCTTCTCCTTGGTTCCTCCTCACAATGCCTATCAAACCAAGCATAAACAGAGGCTATATTAATCCTAAACAACTTGATTCTAACACTTTAACATTAACTTAACAATCCCCCCCTTTTTTCTTTGATTTTTAACAAAATGATTCCTTCTTTAGAATCAATCATCTCATGGCTTATCCCTACACAATTTTTCATGAGGAATCCAATGGTGCAATCAGATTTTTGAAATATACTCCTTCCCCATGAAGTTCACTTGGCCGAATAGGGGGTTCTTAATTTCTAAAAGTTCCATTTTTTATTCCAATTATTTTAAACACTTTTCAACAACATATCCCTACACAAAAACATGTTTTAAATCCATTGGAATCATCAAATCAAGCAAAATCAAATTGCTTCTGCATGAACAGTGCTGACCGAATTGCTTCCCCTTAAACCCTAACTTTGATTTCATCCAAAAATCAATCCATACACCACTTAATCTTCCTTATTCCACTTGGTTAAAGGTTTCTATCCTTTCCTAAATACCACAAGGTCCAGCAAAATTTTGACAGAATTTTTCTAATTTTCCAAGCTAAAAACTTCAACTAACCAAGCTTGAAACTTAGGAATAGGAAGGCATAAGCATACCTGAATGTTTTCTTGGTGTATGTTGAATAATTCCTTGTACAAAACACTTATAATTTTTGGTTGAACGGTGTTGGAAGCAAAATGGCAGAACCTCCCTTTATTTTTCTATTTTTCCAACATTTTTTTGTATTTTCTAAGGGGGTATTTATAGAAAAATTCCATCTGCCCTCACCCCTCTTCAATTGGACGAAATTGGACACCTAATAAGGTGTATGTGGCAGCCATCGAGTGTCCAAAATATTTAGATCACTCCATGTGGCTTTTCTCTAGATTTTTCCACAAAAATATCTCTTAATTTCACATTTTATTTAATAAAAATGGAGGGACCTGGAAGGTGCACGAAATTGGGCCCTTATTGGGCTCAATGTGGGCCCCACAAAATTTTTGGGCTGGTCCAAAAAGATAACCCACAAACCAAATCATTATCTCAAACCAATTAGAAATTTTATTGGTTACTGAATACTAGTAACATTCTATAATTTTTTCAGACTTCCAAAAATTTATTTCTCTCCATGATAATTCACCTTTTAATATGAGAGTATGATCTGAAAATTTTCAGAATTTTTCACCACCTCTAGATATTTATTTTGAATTTTCTCCGGTTATGCCTCTATGATGAGAGCCTTTGTCGTTCGCCTTGGGGTTCCCAATCAAAAATAAATCCAAGTAATGCAATATAGTACAAAACTCGGGTCGTTTCACTTTGAGGAGCCTTTATTTGAAATCCTAAGCAACTAAGTATCAAAAATAAAGAATTGACTTGGAAAGGGATTGATTTTCTTTTTAATTAACTAATTGGCAAAATTTAAAAGGATGCAAAATGAGTAAATAATTTTTGGATTTTTAGTTTATAAAATGGATATGAATGAAATAAATAAAGAGAATTAACAAGTGACAGCAAATAGAAGAGCAATCCTCTAGCACAATGATTAAGGCTATCATTACTTCAATTAATTTGGGAGTTAGCTAAATTCAAAAGACTCTAAGGGCCACCCCCTAGACTCGGCTTAATTAGAATAATCAACACCAAGCCACCTTGCATATTAATTATTCACAATTAAACTGTTTCAGCACAATTAGCCAAAAAGAAAATCAAAGAAAAGCAATTAACATTTTTAGTCCAATAACCAAGCCACCTTGAATTACCACTAAATGTTCACAATAATTTCAAAACATAGTCTGACCCAGTACAATGTAAAGAAATTAAAGCTAATCATAGCATAATGTTAAATGCTAATCAAAGATTCCAACAACTACAACCAATCTCAATACAAATATAAATCATCACAGCCCATTCAAATATTATAAAATTCATTCTAAGACCTAGAAATCACAATTATAATGAAAGAAGTAAAGATTAGAAGAGTTGAAACTCCCCTTTGAAGCTCTAAGTTCAAGCCATAACCATTGCTCTAGAGAATTGGAAGGATTTAGCTACTCCTAACCATCACCACAGCTCCACCAAAATTCCAATTCGGTTCAGCCATGAAGAACAATGAAGATGGAATCTGCAGGAGTGGTTTTGCCGTGAAGCTATGGTCCTTCGTTCTCTCTTCCTCGCCGCTGGTCTCTTCAATTCACGCCGCCTCCCGCTCCGTTTCGTATCGCTCGTCGGTTTTTGAATAATAGGTGTAGTGGGGTATTATTCACGCCGCCCACGTCTTCTCCCTCCGCGCGCTGGTGATGATGAATATTGGATTATTAGGGTGGGGCAAATCGCAACGTTTTGCCCCACCTATTATTATTATTATTTTTTTTTAATTTTATTTTTCTTTTCTTTTCCTTTTTTTTTTATTTTTAAATCTTCCTAGAACCTGCAAGCAAAATTCAAGGATAAGGTAGCATTAATTGTCCTCAAAAATCAATTAGTCACAATTAAATCAAAATATGACAATTTTGCCCCTATAAAATAATAATTCAAAATAAAACAAAATAAATCAATTAAGGTAAAAAAGGGACCAATTAAGTTGACAAAACTCATATAAAAGATACCAAAATATATAAAAATAATTGAGTTTGTCAACTCCCCCACACTTAGCCTTTTGCACTCCTGGGCAAAACTTCATTAAAGAAGAATTCAATAGAGAGACTCAATGCAAGCAAACATAAAACTAACTAAGCATGAATGTGCAATTAACTCAAACAACTTTTATTCCTAATCAATCAGCATCATAGATACTTCAGTGCAAAGAAATTAACACAAGAAACATAGCAAGATAAAGGAAGAGAAACACAATAGAGCTCACATAGGGTACAAGTATTTCACTCATCTCTCAAATGGGAAAAAATTTCACTCAATCCACCTAGATTAGCACCTACCATAACCTTGTAGAGATTCTAATATCTCCACCACTAGCATACCTTAGATTCATGATCAAGGGGACTTGAAAGGTTGTAATGTTGGAAACTATGGCCAAATGAATAAAATGGACTAACAAATGAAATGCATGAGTAATAAAGTATCAACTCAAAGTGAGCTTAAGTACAATCATAAAAGAACACCAAAGTGCAGATTTTAACCTTTTGAGACAGAAATCATTGCTCTTCAAACCACCATGGAATGCCTTATTTCAAATTTATTCTTTTGTTGCAACTTATTTTCTTCTTTTTTTTTTTAACTTTCTTTCTTTGGCTTTTTCTAAACATTTTCTTTTT